TATATATATATATATATATATATAATACTGAATAAATTTAGAAAAAAGATACCGGATATATATTATATATGGTACTGAATAAATGAATAAATGTTATATATGGTACTAAATAAATGCTATATATGGTATCGAATGTGGTACTGAATAAATGCTATATATGGTACTAAATAAATGCTATACATGGTACCGAATGTGGTACTGAATAAATGTCAAGGTCATGATATTTGGCCGTATAATCTTAAGCCTAAAATTTGAATTTATGATAACACATAGAATCAAATATTAATTTTAATATATTTATAGCTTTAGCATTCATCCATTAAAATGAAATTTTTCATGCTTAAAATATCAATCAATTTTATCAAATGTTTAATTTAAGATTTCAAACGTTTGATCATATAATTTAATTTTTGGTAGTTGTAATTATAGGAATTCAATCTTAAACAATATCTGCAATTAATATATTTCAATGAAATAATAGTAATTCGATTAATTTCAATTATTGATTTATCGAGAAAATATGAAATTATATGCCCCAAATAGCATATAAATAAATTGGTATTTGCCTTGTGAAAATCATTATATTAGTGATTCCTCACGAAATATTTGATGAGCCAAAACTGAGCTCACTCTTGCTAAACTCCATCATCAACCATTTGATTCGATAACCAAATTTGCAAACATTTATTCCTACAAGTACATACCTCCTTTTATCACTATCCTTACGAAGAGAACCAATTAAAGTATTGAAATGTTGTCGTTAATGAAATCACATTAAGAGCACTTTTTCGCTTTTAAAAGTTGTTGATGAAGTAAGAAAGTAAAGGAGAATTTCTTGTCATTTATATCATTATCATTTATCATTGTAATTATTTTAGTGTCAACTCTCTTTCTCTCCTTCTCTCTCTCTCTCTCGCTCTTTCTTAAACTGATAATTCAACTTTGTAAATCAAGAATTTGAATTGAAATCTTTTCCTCTTTTGCAAATTTTGTTAACTTTTAAGCCATCTTTATGAATACTCTTCATTTGAAATGTTACATGCCTTTTTCAGCCTAACATGTAACATTTCCGCCTGACTGACTAATTTGAGCTGTATGGTTACACTTGACACTTCATTATTGAACAAAATAACTACAGGTACAATCACATAATCATTAATAATAAGAACCAATAATCAATCATTCATTATTTACTCAATAAGAGATGAAGGAAGGTATGCATACATTACTCAAGTAATCAGCATTGTCACTTTCATTTCGCCGTAGATTTCAATCAATAGAAGGATCGTTTTTTTTTTTTTTTTTTTTTTTCATGAATAGTATGCCGATATATTAATGACTTGATAATTGGTCAAATTGTAATGGACATTATATTTCCCAGCCATAATCAGGAATGGAAAGTAGCCAAGGATGAAATGACCCGAAGAAATGTTTGTTAAAACATTAATATGACTAAAAAAAAAAAAAAAAAAATAGGAATCTAACCAATGATAAGTTAACAGTGATCATAATTTGAAGGATTATAAATAATTGAAAAATATCACTCTTTCCATACTACTGCTTATTTTTAATCTCTTTCTTCCTTCTTTAAATCTCTTTATTCTATTCCATTCCTTGAATGTCTCCAATTTGATCCATCATTTTGGATAATTAAAATAATTGTTTGGCAGTGTTTGAGAAAGATCATTGAAATAAATTATCAAGGAAGTAATGCATAGGCATCTATTATCCCATGGAAATATATTTCATCTACCTAAGGATTCAAGAATTACTTCCTAAATTGATTCATTCTATGATATTAGTTGGATGAATATTACTAAAAATGCGAAGGAAACAATGAACAATTAATTGACAATTTGACGACACATCATGCTGAATAATAGTATTAAGCATATAATGATAAGTATAACTACTAGTTTAATCTTCAGGAAATTCACATTCTGTAATAGGTTAAATCAAATCAGCTACTAGATGAACAACAAATTATTTTTATATTCTAATTTATTTCTTAGGCCATCTTGTAATATGAATATACCGGTTAATGTCATGTAGAACCAAATAAGTACTGCCTATGATTATCATTTCCCGTAGGAAAAGAATCACTGGGATTGATACCATTTAATGAATAGGAAATGGAGCATAAGTTAATGTTAGCGTGCTTCATTACTTTTACGAATATTACTACTATCAGCAGGAACTACAAATATCGTATCAGTTATTACACAATTATCACTTATTGATGCTTTCTCATCTTCCTTTGTTAAATTCGGTTCCATAGATTGCTCCCTACTTGTTGAAGGTGACGAGAAATTTTCGTGTTGCAACGAACGATCAGGTACAGTAGTATCATGTGTATCTGTTGAATATGCTTCATTAGTTTTCAGATTTAGAATCTCATCGATAAGAAGTTTGGAACGTTTTGGTGTTGTTGAAATGGATGATGAATTAGATCCACAATTAACAATTCTTTTTCTATCAAATGATATTTTAGTGCTGCTTGATGTTTCATTCCTTTCTGTTTCATGTTGTTTAATTGTACAATTTGGATCCGGTTTAAGATTTGGTTGTACCAATGTGGAAGAGATATGCTTTGATAATTGCTGCTGTAAGCTTAACATAGCTGAAGGTTGGGCAAGAATTGGATTTAGCATAGCCGCATTCAGAGATCGATTCATAAACAATCGTAGTGGATCAAATTGTAGCGGATCAAAAGCATTTGCAAATACTGTTGCAGAGGAGGTTGCTTCAATAGGATGTGATATTGATGATTCCGCAGGTATCTTTGTTGCATTTAATGAGGTACATGCAGTTGAATGTTGCAACTTCTCCGTACTGCTACATTCATCTGATGGAATGGGTGAATCAGCAAGCGGTGAACCATTGAACATATCTTCTATTTCTGAATCCTCTGAATTATCTGATTCAGGACTCTTCTTTACACCGTTTATTTCGTTAGCTCTGAAATATATCATACTGATAATAAAACNTTTTAATAATATCATCATATTGATACATTTTC